AATGGAACTGATCTAGACCCAGGAGTAACCTAGGAATGAAAAGGGTGCCCTTTTTGGTTTTAAGGGGATTATAAGGGAGCCCCAACCCTAAAAAAGGAAATAAGGGCCTACTCCGGGTCCTAGGGTTTAGGTTCCACTTGAAGCTCACGGGGAACTTTGCCCGGTGAGGCGCGAGGTTCTCACGGCTGCAGAATACCCGGAATCCTGAATCCCGCCACGGTTTAGGGTTTAGGGTTCAGGGTTTAGGGTTTAGGGTCTAGAGTTTAGGGTTTAGGGTTCAGGGTTTAGGGTTTAGGGTCTAGGGTTTAGGGTTTAGGGCAGCCCCCCATCCCAAGCCTAAAGTCCTACTTGACGGTGTAAACCGTGAACTCCAAGCGACCGTAACCGATGAACACCCGTAGAGTCTAGAGTTTAAGGCATCCCAGACCCCTACACCGACTGACCCTGGACTTCCACAACCCAGAACGGTTTAGGGTTTAGGGTTTAGGGTTTAGGGTTTAGGGTGTGATTTTCGGGCGCAGGGTGCGGGTGCCCCTCAAACCCCACACCCTCAGCAACCAGAGTCTCGAATAACCTCGAGCCTCAAGAGTCCTACTCTTTCCGGAATGCGACACCCGGGGTCATTCACACAAAACCAACAACAATCAATATTTTTTGGTGCGGCTCCTTTCGATTCTGAACCAGGGTGTATATTAGGAATCTACGAAAAGGTAGGTTCTCGTAGTATAGGTCAGCCCAACACGGAACAACTTGCCACACCTCTTCTTCCAGGCTTTTAGAGTTTAGGGCCTAGGGTTACTCTCCCCGTCTTCCAGGCCACAAACCGAAACTACTGCAAAACCCTTCTTGACTTCTTGCAATCCACCAAAGTAACCAAAGTGCTTTTCAGAAAAAGGCGGATGTATCTACTTTCTAGGGTCACATCCTTCTTTAGACGGTACATTGGCTACTCCAGGTAGGCCGCGAATTCTAGTGCACGGTTTAGGGATACAGCCCTAAAGCCCCAAACCCTAAACCTCAAAAGCCTGGCTTTCATAGTTAGGGGTTCTCAACAAGACAGCGAGCGCAACCAAACAAAAGAAGCTACAGCTACGTGCGGAATTTGACCAAGCAGAAGATCTACAAGTCAGACTTAGGTGATCAAAGACAGAAGCCACAACTTGGTGTTTCAACGAGGGAAAAGAAGGAACCTCCCTGTACCGATCTGAAAGTCGGGAAAGAGGCACTGCAACTTCTAGAGACCCTAAACTGATGTACCGTTCCAGCAGTCCTCGGTAAAGCCCCTTAGAACCTGTCATTAACCATTATATGGTTAAAACCGAATGCATCCTTCAACCCTAAGTCCTAGACCCTTACCCGTTGACGCTGAGCCGTCCTACCCGAATCCCAAACCCCCTTGACTTGCACATCCGAGCCTGCGCCTTCGAATGCCGCGGCTTCAGCACAGCCTTCCACAGCGAGAGCTTAGTGTGGAGAGTTTATGGGGGCAGATTGCTTCATTCCAGCCTGAATCTGTGCTAAACCCTAAACCCTAAACCACTAAGGTGTCAACATGACATGTCCACCGTGTCCCTATGCCACCCCGGTGAGACCAAACTATGGGGTTGGAACAGGCTTCTGGGATAGAGAACGCCCCAAACCCCTGAACCCTAAACCTGAAACCTAAATGCTCAATCCTAAACTCTAAACCATAATTCCTAACCCCTAAACCCCAAATCGCGAAATCCTAAATCCTAAATCCTAAACCCTAAATCCTAAAGCTTCTACAGCCTAAGCCCTATCCCCAAATCCTAAACCCTCAACCCTATCCCCAAATCCGAAACCCTAAACCCTCTCCCCAAATCCTAAACCCCCATCTAGACCCTAAACCCTAAACCCTGAACCCCTAAACCCTAAACCCTTAGAGGCCGCTCGAAACTCGAACCCGCCTCCTGGGCTCTGTGGGGATGGGACGCCGGATCGATGAAACTGAGCTCCTGGCTTTCGTCTTGAGGGGTTTAGGGGTTTAGGGGTTTAGGGTTTAGGGTTTAGGGGTTTAGGAGTTTAGGGTTTTAGGGTTTAGGGGTTAAAGGGGTCTAGGGTTTAGGGTTTAGGGTTTTAGGTTTAGGG